GAAAAAAAAAAAAAAAAAAAAAAAAAAAAAAAAAAGATTTACAGAGAACTTCCCGTGTGATAAGTGCTTTCCTAAGCATTTGACTTACGTCTTTTTCATTTCACGTTTGCAGTGACCCTGAGAGGTAGGTCTGTTGTGAACCCCTTTTTACTATTGAGGATTCTGAGGCCCAGAGAGGTGCAGCGACTTTCCTGAGGTCACACAGCAGGAAGGGGCAGAGCCAGGATTCGGACCCCGGGCAGTTTGCCTCCAAAACCCAGTCTCAGTCCCTGTCCGTTGTGCTTCCTGAAGGTGGTGAGATACTGACTGCCAAACCATATGCACTGCATTATAATTACTTTATTTGTCCATTTTTTGAATTGATGAAAGGCCTATGTCCTCACCAGTCAGAGCTATTATTCCCTATGATGTACTAGAATTCCTGTTTGCTGACTCCAGCCAATAGCAGGGACATTTTTTTGTTTTATTTATGTTTTTGTTTCTGGCATGATTTTTAAATAGATAAGCATATATTTCCAATGGTTTTTTTAAACATTTCTGGAAAGAAGTCCAGATCTTTGTCCCTGGTTTTCATTAATTAAAAAAGACTATTTGTTGCATCTCTGCAGTAATTTTAGGCATGGGGGAAAGAGCAATGACAAGCACAGAAAGATTCCTGCTCTCCAGGAACTTAAATTTATGGGGGGTAGGTATACATTAAATGGGGAGGGGTTGTGCTGTGAAGGGGATAGAACTGGCGATGTGCACGTGGGGGTTAGGGCTGCTGCCAGGAGGGCCTCTGAGGAGGTGGCATCAGAAGCCACACAAAGATCCAGGCAAAGTGATCCAGGCATGGGAACTGCAAGTGCAAAGGTCCTGAGGTGAGGACAAAAGGAAGACCAGAGTGGCCAGGGCTGGTAAATGGAGGGGAGAGAAGTGGATGGGTGGATGGGTTGGGGGTGGAGATTTTCTGGAAAGCCAGGGTGGGGCATATTGTATTTGTTCTGGGCGTGATGGGAAGCTAGTCCGTGTAGCATTGACAGTAGGACTATGTCATGACCTGATTTCCATTTAAGTGGGTTATTCTGGCCGTTGTGCAGAAAGGGCATTGCAGGGGCAGGTGTGGGGTTGGGAGAGGGAATAGGGAGGAGATTGGGGCTTGGGAGGAGCCGGGGACACCCAGTTTCCTTCTTGGATCTGGTGCTGATATTGCTTGGTCCTCTGCAGTGTTTCCAGGTGGCCAAGAGGCCTTTAGTGGGTGGAGAAAGGATTTTAAGCAGAAGCTGCCCCATCTCTGGCAGAAGACTGGGAATTCTGGCCCTCTGAAAGCTAAGGCAGCTTTCTTGCAGGGCCCCGGGCCGCACGCTCCCCTCCCCCTGCTGCACTGTTTCGGTCTTGGGCAAGTGCCAAGCCCTGTTTGTACCTCTTTGAAGGCAGATAAACCTTCTCTTTGGGCCCAGATGCTTTGCCGAGTGGGGCTTGGCGCTGGAGGGAGAAGGGCCTATGATGTGGGCAGGCCCCACTCTGGGCTGCCTGTGAAGACAGCCCGGCTGCCTTATCTCTGTGCGGTTTCACTGCAGCAAAAGTTTCAATGGGAGGAGAGTCATTTGAAATCTTATTTGAATGCCTGGGTTCCCCTGGGGCTTGAATAATTTGTTTCTTTTATTTTGCCAGTTTGTTTTTTTTTATCTGCAGTGCCTGGTGGGGGTGGGGGGGAGATGGAATAATATGAGCCAGTTTGAAATAGAATATGTTAAAAACATTTATTCACAAAGGATGTTATTTCTTGGATTTTTTTTTTTTTTTTTTTTTTTGGTGTCTTCCTCCCTCCGTGACTACAGTGTGCTGGGATCATAATCCGCTGAAGACAGAATGGAGAGTGATGGGTGGGACAGCCTGGGATCTGGGAGGGGGTTGTCAGTTCTGTCCCTGGGGAGGGCAGGGAGCCATGGGGACCCTGGGGACCTAGTTGAAACCCCAGCATGGCCACCACCATGCTGTGTGTTCCTAGGAAAGGCAGATCTCCTTCCTGAGCCCCAGTTTTCCCATCCGTAACTTGAACTAGATCTCCAAGGGCCCTTTCCCTGTTGCATTTGGGATCCTAGGTGCACAGGAAGGCTTGAGAGGTGGCAAGGGGCAGTCCTGAGCATCGGGTGAAATGGAGGCAGACTGCCTGGTTCAGTTCCCAGCTCTGCCGCTTACCAGCTCAGCAGACTATTTTAGCAGACTATTTAACCTCTAGATGTCCTGGATTTTCCATCAGAAATTGGGGAAAACTCCAGTGCCTCCTGCACAGGGCTCTTGTGACGAGGAGGGGAGATGGTACCGGAAGGTGCCAGGACAGCCAGCGCCTGGCATATGAGAGCTGTGAGAGCAGCTCCAGGACGAGAGCAGTTGCATGTCTCAGATGGGGAACGAGTGGCCTGACATCACACACAATTTAGTGCTGAGTGGGACCAGGGTACCCTCCTCTCTCTCGATACCAATTAGTCTCCTGTTCCTAAAGGCGCCAGAAAGGGGTTGCAGATGGAAGGCCCTGGAGGAGGAAGAGGTGAGGCCAGGAGCTCTCTTCCTTTACCCACACCCCAGGTCTCAAAGCTCTGCATCCTCAGACCTTACACCCCACAGGCCCTTGGAGCCTTGCCCCCCATCCCTCCCACGCCTTTCCTTGTTCCCACCTGCTGAGAAGACCTGGGCCTGGCAGGCCACGGGCTAATCCCTCACTTTCAGGACAAGGCAGTGAGCCTGAATGCAGGGCCTGGTGGGCCCTCCTTGCTGCCCCTAATTTGATTTGGTTTTCTTGCCAATATCTACCCAATGATGATTCTAGCTACTGGGTCCTGAGCATGGCCCAGGCAGCATGCCAAGCCCTTTCTAAACCTCCTCCCCTCTAACCCTTATAACCATCCTGGAGGTTGCTGCTGGGATCTGCCCAAGCCATGCAGCTGGAAGGGGTGGGTGTGCTCTCTAGGAGTGGGGCCAATGGCATTGGCCTTGGAGAGACTGTGCTGGAGCTGGGAGACTGTGGCCGTTCTCCTGACTTCCCTGGACACCAGAGGACGAGTAGCTGGGTAAGATGGTTGCTGAGGTTGCTCCCAACCTGCCGCCTGTGGCCATGGCCAGTGGCATCTTCATGGTGCTGGGGAGGTGTGAGCAGGGCCTCGAAGGCAGCCTCGGATTTGGGAAGTTCAAGAAGAGCAGTCTGGGCTGTCCACTGGGGCAGCAGAGACAGGAGAGGCTTGACACTGGGACTGAGCTCAGAGCGTCGGGCCAGAGAGGCAGGGCATGGCCAGAGGTGGTTCCAGCCGCCCTCAGGAATAGTAGTGGGCCTACTATTAACAGCAAGGACGATAACCAAAATAGGTACTTTTTCTTGGTTTCCTGGTATACACCAGGCATTATATTCTTTCCAGTGTTCACAGCATGTTCCATATGGTTGAAATTATTTGTCCCATTTTCTAGACGAGGCAACATACTCAGAGAGGTTAAGTACCCAGCTCAGCGTCACACAGCAAGTTGGAGGCTAAGGTGGGATTTGCTTGGGGCCCTTCTAGCAAATTGGCGGGGATTGTTCTGAGGGCTGGAGGGTGGCTGTCCCACCCTGTAGCTGCTCCCTGTGCCCCATGGGGTGCCCTTGTGTTCAGTGGATGCTGGCAAGCATGGTCCAGTGCTAAATAAACCCCCACTTAACGCCAGTTGGAAATCACGGCTTTGCCGTTGGTGCCAGTTCTTAATGTCACTTATCCCAAGCGGGCTTTCAATTTTCAGCGGCAGCAGCCTTCTCATTTGGTCTCAGCCGCTCTGGTTTTGTGACGGGAACAATGGCAGTGGCAGATGGGGAGCAGAAACTCCATTTTCTTTTAGCGTTCCCAGTCGCAGGCGGGGAAGGCACCATCTGGAAGGAGAAGGTCAGATCATTAAAAAAATATATACTAATAAATTGCCAGGACCTGATGGGCTGTGGGTGTGCGGGGAGGAAAGACAGGAGATGAGCTCAGGGCGACTCAGGGATGCGGGCGGTGGTGGGGGGTATATTTGCCATTTCAGCTTCAGGAGACGCTGGGGTGAGGAACTGGGGGCTGAGAGCTCCGCGGGGCTCTTGTCTGATAGAGACCAGGGTCTGCTTGATTGTAAGTTCCTTGAGAGCTGGGACAAACTCTCAAGTCATGCCATCGCTGTTTGCTGTCCAGGGGCTTATCCAACAGACAACACAGCAGGCTGTGACGGGAGCACCCTGCCCAGGAGAGTAGGGCTGCCCTGGGGACAGGCACCTCTGTATTCGTGCTGCGTCCCTGCTGTGTCGCCAGCACCATGCAAAGTGCCCCTGCGGGTTAGTTCCTTGGCGCTTGGCCCCTGCTTTGACTCCTCCAGCGTCTGCTTCCCCAGTGTGGCATGGGGATGGAAATACCTACATCCCGTAGTGGCCGTGAGGATGAGCTGAGACTGTGAAAGTAAACTGTGAAGTGCGGTGCACAGACAGTCGTCTGCTGCGTGGATGCCTGTTCTGTGCTGTAGCTGTCCTTTCCCTGATGGTCTCTCCCACATCGACTTTTCTGCCTGAGTGGCAGGGTCCAGGATTTATGTGACTCTGTTTCCAGGGTCCAGTGACGTGGAGGGCCTGACGTGGAGGACACCTCTGGGCCCCTGTAGGGAATGAGTTCAAGGCTCAGTGACTCTGCACCAGGGCGTGAGACCGACAAGAGCTGGAGCCTTCTCATAATCGTATCTGACATTTGTGGATGTCTGTAACTTCTCAGAGCATGCACACCTGCCACCTCATCCCAGCTCCACTCTGTGACAGACACTCAGATGCCACCTCTCTCTGGCAGCAATGGCATTTCTCAGGTGCTTGCTACGTGCCTGGTGCGGATGCTGTGCTGGTGGTGGTTCCTCACACGTGTCCAGCCCTTCTTGGTGGGACCTGGCAGCGTCTCTTTGATGAAAGCAAGTCAGATTGTCGTTAATGTCATGGGTACAGTGGAAAACCTGGAAAATGAGGCTCTGAGAGAAGAGGCTTTGTTTATGCCCCCAGAACGCATCGATGGTCTGTGGCGTGGCCGGTGCTATGCGAGTGGGCAGGTGTGATGTAGAAGGAAATAGGGTGGAAAGTTTTGGCCTTTACAGAACACTGGCATAGTGGGGGAGCCTGTGCTTGCACACACGCACACGCACACGCACACAGGAGAAAAGAGACAGACGAGAGAAGGGCTGGCAATAGTGGTAAAGGCTGCGACGCACCCTGACAGGGGCTGAGACAGCAAGCGGTGGAGTTGAGTGGGGTGGAGAGAGGGTCAGTTAGGGCCTTTCCGAGAAGGGGACATGCAACCTGCACCTGGGAAGGGAGAGGAGCCAGCCCTGGAGAGAGCCGAGGGACAGCGTTCCAGGCAGAGGGAACATGTGGGGCTCGTCCTGTTTAAGTTCCTGAAGTCTAGCACTGTGGAAGCTGTTGATCAAGGGACAAAGCTGGGGAGGAAGGAGGGTCCTTCCAGCTCTTCCAGAAGAGCTGGATCTTATTCCAAGTGGATTGGGACTTGGTTGACGTTTTCAAGCAGGGGAATGGCCCGGTATGGTATAAGTTTTAGCAAGATGGCTGTGGCTGCTGAGCAGAGGACTATGGGGGCAAGACTGGGCAGGAGGCCCTGCGTGGCTGCTGGGTGCTCTTGGGCCGAGTCGATCCTTCCTCAGGTAAGGGCAGGGTAGGCCTGGTCCCTGCGTCATCTTTGCCCCTGAGGAGCTGCAGGGGAAGGTTGAATCAATCACCTCTCCTGTTAACTCCAGAGCTCCAGGCGTCCTTGTGTTAAGTGGCCTCTCTCTCTCGGGGCACCCGTGCAGTGGCCCTGGTTTTCTGGGGGCAGAGCTACCTCCTCATTGTCCGGCATCACCATGCTCATGAGCTTTTGTGACAGTGGCATTGGTGGGCCCCAGTTGCTGAAGGCTGCTTGTTTTAGTGCAAAGAACCTGGTCTTGGGAGTCAGAGAGACCTAGGTCACATCTAGACTCTGTCACGCAGGTATGGCTGTGATTTAGTCATGTCGCTTAATCCCTGAGTGTTAATCTCATCATGTCTAAAGTGAAAATAATTATTCTGACCATGCTGGGTTGTTGTGAAGACTAAGCCAAAGAATAGATCTGTAACACTCAGCCTTGTACCTGACCCATTGGCACATAGTAGGTGGTGTCTTAGTCAAGCCCTGTCCCTGCTGTCAGGATGCCTGGAAGGCAGTCCTCCTATGGTGAGTGTGTAACGAAGGAAGGGTTCCTTAGCAGGGAGAATTCTTTGAGACAGATGGTCATTAGTTCACTCCTGCCTTTCATCCATTCTTTCAATTCATGTTTACGGAGCACTTACTACGTGCTAGGCAGTGTTCTGGGTGTCAGGGGGACAGTGGTGAATGAGACAGCCCAGATCCTTGCTGCCTTCAACTTACATTCTAGAGACATATGGAGACAGATCATAAATAAATACATAGGCAAAATGATTTTAGATTGTCATGAAGGCAATGAAGAAAATAAGACAGGAGCTTTAGAGTGATTAAGAGAAGGGGATCACTGTAGCCAGAGTGGTCAGGGAGGACTTCTTGGAGGAGGCAACGTGTGAGCAGAGCCCTGACCCGTGTGAAGGAGCTGCTGTAGAGGGAGTGGTTTAGCAGATGTTCCTTAGTACCATGGTCTCCAAATGTGAGTCCTGGGTCTGGGATCAGGCGTGGGCATCTGTACTTGTCACAGGTCCCTGGCAGCTTTGATGCACAGCTGGGCTGGGGGACCTGGAGGCAGGTGACTTCCTAAGTTTCAGGGTAACCTCAAAGGAAAGGATTCCTCCTCCTCCCCATCATCATCATCATCAGTCAGGTGTGAAAGCACCACGCTGCATTGTCCTGTCTGTTTGCTTGTTTATGGTCTGCCTCCTGCTCTAGAATGTGAATTCAGTGCAACAGGGATCTGGACTCTGGTCAGCATTTTAGTGTTTTTTGAAACCCTTTCATATCTATTATCTAATGTGATCCTCACAACCACCACAGGATGAAGGTATTTTTATCATCCTTATTTTATTTATAGGTGCAGAAATTGAGGCTCAGAGTTGGGGTGATTTGCACAAGGTTGCTCAGCAGTAGGGTGGTCATGCTGGGCCTCAAACCTTAGGTTTGCTTATCCCCTGCCTGGGACCATGGCCATGTTTGTGGAGCGATGCTGAATGTCATCTCAGATGAGCAGGAGTCGGGGTGGGGGAGCAACTGGCTGGGACAGGCCAGGTCAGCATGTTGGCTGGGCTTCTGGGACCTGTGATAGCTCCCCTGGGCTCGAAGGGTGACTCACTGCCCGGTTGACCCTCAGACTCTGATCAGCTTTCCCCACCTCCTTCCTCTTGCTGTAGGGGAGGAGAACCAGCCGGGCTGGCTGTGTCTGGATGAGGACAAGAAGAGCAAAGCCCCATTCTGGTGCCCGATCCTTGCCTGCTGCATCCCTGCCTTCTCCTCCCGGGCCCTCAGCCTGCAGGTGAGTGGAGTGGAGCTTGCTGAGCTGACCATGACGGTGGGCTGTGACCCCCCTGGCCTGGGAGAACGGGAGTTTCCAGGTAGTGTCCACAGCAGGAAAGGCTCAGGTTCCAGTTCCAGCTTCTAAATTCCTACTGATGGAGTTGGTCCAGGATTCAGCTTTCCCACCAAAAATATGGGATATTTTGAGATAACAAATAGCCACGATCAATCCATCAGTTGATGGTGTGACTCCAGAATACGCTGAAGTGGCTGTGCCAGATGCTGTAGGTTGGACGCATTTGTGATGCCGCCAGGTGGGGCCAGCTTTGGTGTGGGGACCACTCTTGCTATGGGATGCTCCACTGCCATCAGGCATCCGGTTTGTGAGGTACCTGCTGTGCTCTCCAGTGCTTTGTTTCATTCTTTTGTTTTAATATCTATAAGAACCCTATGAGTAGATATTTCTCACAGGTGATGTGATTTTTCAAAAATGACACAGCTAAGTGAGGGAAGGATCCAGGAACTTGAACCTTGCTTTGGCTGGTCACACCACCCGTGGTTCTAACTGCTAGGGTGCTCGGCCTGCACTGCTCATCTGCCCCTGTGGCCTGGCTGTGCGCACCTTTCCATCTGGAGCAACTACTGTCCATCCTCTGCCAATGAGATGAAGTCATCTCAGCGTGGGACCCAGGCCCAGATAAATAAGTCCTTAGAGACATAATGACTGGGCTGGAGACTGGGGCTCTAACCAGCTGAAAGAACATACCCTAGAGGTGTACGTTCATTTACTCATTCGTTTATTCATTTGTCCGTCCTGCATGTAATTGTGGAACACCTACTGTGTGCTAGACGCTGGGAAGATAGCGGTGACTAAGACATATGAGGGCACTTCAAAAAGTTAGTGGAAAAATAGAATTAAAAGATAATGTGAATCTTTCCATGAACTTTTTTGTTTTTAAAGATGACCGGTAAGGGGATCTTAACCCTTGACTTGGTGTTGTCAGCACCACACTCTCCAAGTGAGTGAACCGGCCATCCCTATATGGGATCCGAACCCGTGGCCTTGGTGTTATCAGCACCGCACTCTCCCGAGTGAGCCAGGGGCTGGCCCTTCCATGAACTTTTTTGTTTTTAAAGATGACCGGTAAGGGGATCTTAACCCTTGACTTGGTGTTGTCAGCACCACACTCTCCAAGTGAGTGAACCGGCCATCCCTATATGGGATCCGAACCCGTGGCCTTGGTGTTATCAGCACCGCACTCTCCCGAGTGAGCCAGGGGCTGGCCCTTCCATGAACTTTTTGAAGTACGCTTGTACAAGGTCCCAACCCTCATCTAGCTGTCAACCGAGTGGAGAGAGACAGGCGATCACGCAGCCCGCAGAAGGAAAGAGAAGGGTGATGTGTGTTACAAAGAAAGTCAATCAGTGATAAGTAGATACAGAGATGGGGCCACAGAGGGGTTCAGATGGGGCCTCTTGGAGGAGGTGGCAGTTAAACCAAGACCCGAATGGTGAGAAGGACTCAGCCCCGAGAGGGCCCGGGGGAAGAATATTCCAAGTTGACAAACCAACCCAGAGGCTGAGATAGCAAGTTGGGAAGCTGGCGGGGCTGCCACTTGGTGAGGCGGAGGAGAGAGGGCGAGCTGATCATGCCGGCCTCACAGGCTGGGTCGGTTTGGATTTCATTCTCAGAGCAGTGAAAAGCCACAGGTAGTTCCGAGCTGGGGATCTGCATGATCTGATTTATACTTTGGATCCTTTGGGTCATTCTGGCTATTCTGTGAAGATAAACCATGGACAAGAAATGGGCGAGAATGGGTACCGAGGGTCCAGTGCCAAGCTTAGTGCAGGGGTCCTGCTGAGACAGGGCAGGACTCGGCATGGGTGGAGGCCAGGGCTGGGACTGGGAAAGGCGAGTGAGATCCTCACCTCGGTGCAAAATTTAAGCAGGTGCCTAAAATCTCAATAATCAAGATACATAATGTTTTAGTGCAATATTTAAAACAACAACAACACCAAAAATCCCCAAAAATCCGAATAGGCAAGTACAGGCTGTGGTTTGGCTGTAACTTTTTTTTTTTGGCTAAATAAAGGGCCGGGATTAGGGTGTGGTCAGTGAGCCAGGGTTCTGCAAGTGCAGAGTTGGGTCCTGTCTTTATTTTTAAACTTTTAATAATTGTTCGTCATGGATTTTTTTTTTGCAATAATTTTGATTTTAAAAATTACCTTAAAACATTTTTCTTGGTGGCCGAGTTTTTTGGCACTCCCTTAAATTTCACACCCAAGGTGAGCGCCTGGTCCTGTCCCCTAGTCCAGGCCCTGGTGAGGGCAGTGGGCAGGGGAGATGGGGGCACACTGGGGATGTGTGTTGGGGTAGGACCGGCTGAACTGGTGGGAGATGTGACACACAAAATGGGGAGTGACCCGTGGGCCTTGGTGCCCTGGGGTGTAGGCCAGAGTCCTGGGGTGCAAGCCAGAGTGTTAGGGCCCACTCTGCCTACACTCCCCTGGCCTTAGTGTACCTGGGGAGAAGGCTGACCCTGGGTGACTTCCCTAGGGAAGTGGATTCTCCTGTGTCCCCAGGGCCTGGGGTTTCCTGGGAATACAGGTTGAGGACTGAACCCTGACGGGTGAGACCTGGGTGGTAGAGTCACAGACAGGCGCTGCGTCCAGGCCCTTCTGGAAGGAAACCCCCACCCACAAGGGGAGCCACCTGCCCTCTCAAACTTGGGGATGAGGGTGTATGAATCTCCTCATTTGGAGCCCTCAGGGCCCAGGAACATGTAGGCTGGAAGCATCTTCAGCCCCCACCAGCCCCTGCTTGTGGTCCCCCCCGTGCTAGCTGAGGGAACCATGAGTGAATCTCTGCAGGTAATGGGCCTGCGGAGCTCCCGGGGGACACACCCGAGCCTGTGCAGCCCATTTACTGAGCTCTGAGTGCCGTCCTGCTCTGCTGCACCCGCTTCCACCCAGACCAGACAGATGTGCCCCATCAGCTCTGTAATGGCAGCCCTGAGTTAGGGCCTCAGAGTGCCAGGGCCTTGTCCAATTACCGTGGGAACAGGTGTGAGTGTGTGGCCTGCTGCTGGGTTAACCCAGCCACCATGGCTTCCCAGGTGGTCCCTGGAGTGATGCCTCGGGCTCTGCAGTTGGCCTAATGAGAGCCAGCCACCAAACCGGTTTCTCAAGGGAAGTCTTGGGCTCGGCTGAGGGAGTTGCTGGACCCAGCCCATTTCCTGTGTAGACAGAATCAGCGCTCTTACACCAGCTGGCTGAGGGTGTGTTGGTTTCTGTCCCTCAAGGGAACAAGGGTGCTGGGGCAGGAGCAGGATTCTTGTCAGTGCTGACAATGGCCCGTGCCCACGCGGGCCCCACCACACCTCCTGACTTACAGGGCAGTGGTCGGGAGCATGAAACAGCATCCACAGGGTGGCGCTGGTCCCTGGGTCGAATCCCGGCCCTGCATGTCCCAGCTGTGTGACATCGGGAATGCTACTTCGGCTCATGGGGTCACAACTGTGTCTTCAGTGTGTAACCTGGGGGGGCCCACAGCACCTTTCTGACCGGATTACAGTGAGGATTAAGTGACGCAGTTCAGGTCAAATGCTTAGCCATCGTGTGGTGTGTGCTCAGGGTTCAAGAACTAGAAGCAACTGTCTCAGGACATTTGGGTCCCCAGGAAGGAGAGGCCACTGGGGTCTGTTTTGGGGAGTTTCTGAAGGCCTGACCACTTGGGTGTTTTAAGATTCTTCTCGGACCCCCAACTCCATCTAAGAGGGAGGCCTGTCCCTGGAGGGCAGCAGGAAGGCTAGGGGAGGGTTTGCCACGAGCCCATCCCCAACAGTGGGCCGGGTCAGTCTCAAAGCCTGCCTGCCTGGGGACAGGGGCAGGGGTACTGTCTGCTCTGAGGTGCTTTAAAACTCAAGCACCCTGGGGGACTGCAGGGCTGTAGCCTGCGGAGGATCTGTAGCTGGGCTTGCTCAGGCCTCAGCTCCCAGGCCCAGTGGCCTCCGTCCTGACCTTCGTTGGCCTCCATTAGCCAGACCTGCTACCGGATGGGTACCCTGCCTCCTACCTCTGTGCCGCAGTTGCTCACTGTGACAGTCCCTCCCTTGCAGTGTTACTTTGGTGATTAGTGAATGCATGAGAAAAGCTGGGACATCCTTTAGCTGCTGCTCGTGCTGGGTACCCAGGCCCCTGCTAAGTGCTCGACACCTGCCCTCTCCACTCCCCATGACCATCCTGACAAGACGCCAGAGTCTCCACTTTATGGATGATGCACTGACTTGCTTGGGACCAGCATGCTGGTAGCCACCAAGCTGGGGTTGGAGGCCAGCTTCATGCTGCTCTGCACGGGTGCCTTGATTTCTGGGAAGTGGCCTTCCTGGCACGGTCACGACTCTCAAGCCCATGGCCTTGCCTGTTAAGAAGACATTTGAGTTTTTGCCATCATCTTGGGCCCGGCTTTGTTGATTCAGCTGACATCAGGGGCCACTGGAGTTGCCATGGAAATGTCAGAGCCAGGGCTGTGACAGCCCCTCCCTCCTCTGAGAGAGAAGAAGAGCCGGTGCCTGGCAGAAAGGGTGACTCACCCTCGGCTGGACGTGGCCACCAAGAAGCAAAAAGACAGACGGTCCAGGAGGCCAGCTTTAGGAAAGCCTCCTGCTCAGGGTGTGGGGACCCAAGTTCCCAGCTGGGTAGAAGTGGGACCCCTGAGTACCAAGGCCTCTGGTGTGGCACCCTGGCTGCTGGGTAGAATTCAACCAGAGTAGAAAGAGCCCTGGACTGGGAATTGAAAGTCTGAATTCTAGGCCTGACTCTGCCTCTCATTTGCTGTGTGACCTTGAGCCAGTTACATCTCCTCCCCACAAGCTTCAAGTTGTCCAACTGCTAAGTGAGGAGGTTGGATGAGGTGACATCTCTGGGCCCCCTCGCCATGGCCATTAGAAATCTTGTTAGAATGTTCCAGCAGGGCTGGGACTGGCTGGGGCCTGGAGCACCAGCAGAGGGCAGCACCTGCCTGGAACAGGGCCTGGTGGCCGGCTGTGTTCCTACCTCCGGGCAGCCAGCTGTCCCCCCTCTGTCTCCTTCCCCTTTGGTCTGGGAAAGGGCCAGGCCATTTTCTTGCATCGCTGTCCTGCCTGGCGAGACAGACTGCCCAGGCCTAGCTCAGGAAACAGTCCTCAGGGAGGCCACCCAACGTGGGGTTTAGGGAACAGATTCAGGGGCAGGAGCAGGCAGGCTGGGCCCTGTCACTCCCCTCCTCGTTGGCCTAGGCAGCCACCTGCCCTCTGTGGCCCTCACTGTCCCCATCTGTAAAGTAAGGGAGGTGGGGCATTGGTGGTTTCAATGAACCTTGTCTGGGAGCTGCCCAGTTTCGAGACCCTGGGCTGATACAGAGCATCACTGAGGCCTCTTCTAGCCAGAAGGTTCTGGGAGAATGACGGTCAAATGCAAGGGGGCAGGAGCTACCTGGAGACCCCATGAAACATGTGGCTTTCCTGGCCCTCACCCTCAGGGGTCCTCAGGGAGCTGGATGGGGCCCAGGAATCTGCCAAATATTGGCATCTCAGCACCTTGACAATGAACCCCACATGTGCATCTCTGTCTCCGCAGCTTGGGGCCCTGGTCCACAGTCCTGTCAACTGTCCCCTGCTGGGCTTCTCAGCCGTCAGCACCTCCCTTCCACAGGGCTACCTCTGGGTGAGTAACCTCTATGCCCAGCCAGGGATCTGGCCTCAGGATGGGAGCGGGGAGGGTGGCACCTGGGAGGGGTGCTGGAGAAAGCTGCCCGCCTGTGGAGCCCATTTCTGTGGCTTCATCCAGCAAGGTCTTCTCTGGTACCAGGCACTGTGCTCAGAGTTGGGAGGTGCAACCCCACCCAGAGCAACAGAAAACCGGGAGCAAGTAAGAGAGCATGACTTGCAAATGGCCCTAGTGCCCTGAAGGAAACGAACAGGGAGCTGTGCAGAGGGTCTGGGTCGCAGGGTCTTCACCCCAGGGGCGGGAATCAGGGCTGGAGCTGGCCCATGTCATGCAGAGATTCCAGCCCACCTTTCCCCCAGGCTTCCTGGCAAAGCCTCCCTCAGTTCCAGTGAGGTGTCCCCCCACTCTTGTGATGCAGGTTGTGGCCTTCCTGCAACACCCACTGTTCCGGCCTCACCACTCCCTGGCCATCCTCTGACTCCCCCTGTTTATTCCTGTCTCCAGGCACTTGGACAGGAAAACGCTGGCTGACCCTTCAGAGTTCAGCCCAAATGACCCTTCTGAGAGTGATTTGCTCCTCGTTTCCCCGTTGTCTAGCACGTGGTGTATCTGTTCATCCACCCATGCATCTATCCATCTACCCTGTAACAAATGTGTAGTGAGTGTGTACTGTGTGCTGGACACAGGGATAAAACAGAAGACAGCAGAGCAGGAGACACAGAAGAGCATTTTAAAGGGACAGAGTAGGTTTTCACTACGTATTGGCTTAAGTACACCCTAAAGAGGAGAAACTAGAAAGCTGACTGGGTAACTAGTTCACCTTGGCTTCTTACCTGATTTCTTTTGGGCTAATTTGTTTGCCATGTCAGCTGGGGACAAGTGACCTTCGTGTAGGCAGGAGAGGGGCTGCTCCTCTCCGGGATGGGGCCCCTCAGAAGGCAGGGGCTGGGCTCTACCTCTGTTCCTGCCTGATAGCTTCTCTGCGTCTCTGCTCCCAGGTCGGGGGCGGGCAGGAGGGCGCAGGGGGCCAGGTGGAAATCTTCTCTCTGAACCGGCCCTCGCCCCGCACTGTCAAGTCCTTCCCGCTGGCGGCCCCCGTGCTCTGCATGGAGTACATTCCAGAACCAGAGGAGGAGGCGGAGAGTGGAGAAGGGAGCCGGCCAGCCGCTGACCCCTCGACTACTGTGCATCCCACCATCTGCCTTGGCCTCCAGGATGGCAGGTGAGGGGCTTGGGGGGGAGGGGCAAGAACAGTCTGTGTGGGGTGGGGGCTGTCCCTCTAGCGTATCTTGGCCTGCCAGTTGCCCACCGACATCCTCCACCCCTGGTCGGATGCCACCAAAGGTGGGGGCCAGAGACGTCCAGGTTGGGGGCCAGGGAGGGTACCATCCTTGAAAAGCCATCCATGGAAAAGTGAGCTCCCTCAAGGTGGAGCGATGGCCTGGTCATACAGCTGGGTGGCCTGGCTGAGTGGGGGCAGCCCCTGGACCTGCTGTCCCCAGGAGGGTGTGTGGGGTAGTGGGTGGGTGAGGGGTGCTCAGTGAGTTAAGGTCAGTCCTCGGGCCTCTCCCCGCAGCATCCTGCTCTACGGCAGTGTGGACACCGGCACCCAGTGCCTGGCCACCTGCAGAAGCCCAGGCCTGCAGCCTGTGCTCTGCCTGCGGCACAGCCCCTTCCATCTGTGTGCTGGCCTGCAGGACGGGACCCTCGCCGCCTACCCTCGGACCAGTGGTGAGGACAGGTGGGAGGAGGGTTGGGGGAGTGTGGGGCAATACTGGGTGCCGATTGGGTGCTGGATCCTCTATCAGGAGAGGTTGCAGGAGGCAGGCAGCACAGAAATGAATCAGGGTATCTCCATGCTGCAGGGGAGATCCCCGAGCCCCACCGGGGTCCCACCTGTGTTTCTCTGCCCTTGAGTCCCCACTGGAATAAGGTGCTCAGTACCATGCAGGCAGTGAAGCCCATTGTCAGGAGACTCCAGAGGATGAGAGCAGGGACTCTGAGGTCGAGGACACCTGGCTTTGTGTTCAGGCCTGCCCT